CCCCGGTGGTGGTTGTGCTAGAGGGCCCCGGTGGTGGTTGTGCTTGAGGACCCCGGTGGTAGTGGTGGAGGTAGAGGGCCCCGGTGGTGGTGGTACAGGCAGGGCCCCGGTGGTGGTGGTGGTGGTGGTGGTGGTAGAGGGCCCCGGTGGTGGTGGTGGTGGTGGTGGTAGAGGGCCCCGGTGGTGGTGGTGGTGGTGGTGGTAAAGGGCCCCGGTGGTGGTGGTGGTGGTACAGGCAGGGCCCCGGTGGTGGTGGTAGAGGGCCCCGGTGGTGGTAGAGGGCCCCGGTGGTGGTGGTGGTGGTGGTAGAGGGCCCCGGTGGTGGTGGTGGTGGTGGTAGAGGGGCCCCGGTGGTGGTGGTGGTGGTGGTGGCAGGGCCCAACAATGTTCACCCAGCCGGGAATTCCTTGCATACATTTGGCAGGACAAACTGGCGTCCGGCCTAACCTTCGCCCCGCGACAAGGAGCTCAGTAACAGCTGTTCTTCCATATCATAATAATGTTCTGCCAGTCTGGGACTTGGTGTTGTGTTTACTAGTGACGGGTGTGTGGTGTTCCGGCCGCTTCTGGGGCCAGAGTCACGAAGCTGTTACGCAAGCACTTACGAACCTGTACAGCTTTCCTCAATCTTTGACGGCTTTGGTTATATTTATTAAACAGTTAATGAGCTCCGAAGCACCAGGAGACTGTTTTTAACAATAACAACAGTTGATTAGCAAGTTTTCATGCATGTAAACTGTTTAATAAATGTAACCAAGGCAGTCAAAGATTGAGGAAAGATGTACACGTTCGTAAGTGCTTGCGTAACAGCTTCGTGAATCTGGTCATAGGTTCGTAAGTACTTGCGTAACAGCTAAGTGAATCTGATCATAGGTTCGTAAGTACTTGCGTAACAGTTTCGTGAATCTGGTCCAGTTTCGTAAGTGCATGCGTAACAGCTTCGTGAATCTGGCCCCAGGTTCGTAAGTGCATGCGTAACTGCTTCGTCGTAGCTCTGCGCGCTGGGTAGTCGTAAAGAGCCATGTCTGAGGAGACAAACTCTGTGGGCATTATAAGGATATCCTCAAGAACACCATCTTGAGATTATCTTGAGATGATTTCGGGGCTTAGCGTCCCCACGGCCCGGTCCTCGACCAGGCCTCCTTTTTGTTACACATCCCCCAAGAAGCAGCCCGTAGAAGCTGTCTCCCAGGTACCTGTTTACTGCTAGGTGAACAGGGGCATCAGGGTGAAAGAAACTGCCCATTGTTTCTCGCCGGTTTCTGAGATCGAACCCAGGACCACAGGATCACAAGTCCAGCGTGCTGTCCGCTCGGCCGACCGGCTCTTCATCTTAGACGTGTCAACGTGCATTTAGTTGTGTTAAATAGCAAATGTCAGTATTGGTAAATTTGTGTTAACATTGTGTAGTGTTGCTTACCACTGACGGAGCTCTGACCACGCTGTCTCCTGACTTGTGTAGTGGTTATCTTATCTGTGGTGTGTAACCTAGTGTACCCCGCGCCCTCTCCTGCACCCTCCCGACCTCTCCCACCCTATCCCACTCTCTTCAGCTCTCTCCCTCCCTCTTCCGCTCCCTGTGAAAAACTACAAGCAGATATTAATAAAGTTTTCGACTGGGCAACAGAGAATAACATGTTTAACAGTGATAATTTCCAGGTACTCAGGTACGGAAACAATTGAGGACGTTAAGCATAATACAGAGTACAGAACATGTCAAGGATTTGGGAATAATGATGTCTGACGACCTTACTAACGTTTAGGGAGCATAACCAAGCAAATATTGCGTTAGCCAGACAGGATGGATTACGAAACCTTTCAAATCCAGGGATCCCATCACAATGGTTGTACTCTTCAAGTCACTTGTGTTGTCCCGTCTTGAGTACTGCTCAGTACTTACTTCCCCCTTCAGAGCAGGAGAGATTGCTCAAATAGAGGGAATACAGAGAACATATACGGCATGCATAGACGAGATAAAACACCTAAATTATTGGGATCGTCTCAAAGCCCTCCAAATGTACTCACTAGAGAGGAGACGAGAGAGATACCAAATAATATACACGTGGAAAATACTGGAGGGACAGGTCCCAAATCTACACAGTAAAATAACAACGTACTGGAGTGAACGATATGGAAGAAAATGTAGAATAGAACCAGTGAAGAGCTGAGGTGCCATAGGCACAATCAGAGAACATTGTATAAACATCAGAGGTCCGCGGTTCAACGTCCTCCCAGCGAGCATAAGAAATATTGCCGGAACAACCGTGGACATCTTCAGGAGAAAACTAGATAGTTTTCTTCAAGAAGTTCTGGACCAGCCGGGCTGTGGTAGGTATGTGGGCCTGCGGGCTGCTCCAAGCAACAGCCTAGTGGACCAAACTCTCACAAGTCAAGCCTGGCTTCGGGCTGGGCTTGGGAAGTAGAAGAACTCCCAGAACCCCATCAACCAGGTAACCAGGTATCAACCAGGCATCTAATACCATATCATAGTGGTCCAGTAACTGTGACAGGCAAGAGCGCCCTGTTCTGAAACCATGTTGTCCGGGGTTATGGAGATGCTGTGATTCCATGTATTTTGTGATCCCATGTTTCTTGGCGCACTCCCTGAGATTTTTATGATGTGTGATGTTAATATTTCCTCCTTTATGAAGTGGTGATATCTCTGCTGTTTTTAGTATATCAGGGATAACGCCAGTATCTAGGCTTTGTCTCCACAATGTGAAGGGCGTGTGAAAGTGATTTTTTTACAGTTCTTGATGAATATGGAGTCCCAAGAATCCGGGCCTGGTGCAGAGAGCATAGGCATACTGTTTATGGCTTCTTCAAATTCCAGTGGGGATAGGGTGACGTTTGATATATGACTTCATGTTGGTATCATATCCATGAAAAATTCATTTGAAAAATCATTTAAAAAATCATTAAAAATTCATCATTCAATTCTTCCTCAGTAGCTCGCTCATTTCTTTGTTGTCATCGGTGAAAGTTCCATCTCCCTTTCGCAGGGGCCCGATACTAGATGTGTTTTTTTTATCTTGATTTTGCATAGGAGAAAAAATATTTCGGATTTCTCTCTATTTCACTGATGGTCTTTTGCTCTCTTTGCCTCTCTTGGGTTTTGTATGATTCTTGTAGCTTGAGTTCAGTTGATTCTATTTCTCTACCTAACCTTCTTCGCCGTTCTTGAGATAGGGTGCGACTCTCAAGTTGTTCAGCGATTCACTTTCTTCGCCTATATAGGGAACGACGTTCCCGTTCCAATCTGCATCTCTCTCTTTTTTCTTAGGGGTATGCGGTTTGAACATATTTCTAGTGCTACTGAGCTTATTTTTTCCAGGCACTGGTTCAGGTGTGCATTTTCTAGCTGTTCTTCCCAGTTTATTTCTGTGAAGTCTCGGTTTATTTGCTCTCAGTTTATTGTAGAAGTCGAGTTTGCTGAAATCTCCTCCACTGGGAATCGGGACTGGTTTTGCAGGTCTTCTACTCATGCTTGTCAGAACGTCAATTAAATTGATCTGAGTAACGGGTATTTGTAATCATTATGTTCCTGATCAATTCATCATTATTAGTGAAAATGAGGTCCAGCGTGTTCTCCTTCCTAGTTGGTTTTACGGTTAAAGTTTAAGTCTGCTGGTTTAAGACAAATAAGCGAAATAGTGACTATAAGCAATAAGTCATATATGTGCTATCTTGTGCGAGAACGGGTTGCTGGATGCCTTACTTGGTGTTAATATCTGAGGCTCTGGTAAGGAGGCCACTGTGTTTGCGTCCTCTCTAGCATTTGACCAAGTTGGTGGTAGAGTCTGGACATTTTTAGCCATTCTTCTCCTCCTCCTCTTGCTAAAAAATCATCCTGGTAAATAGTGTTGTGGCTGCTTTCATTGAGGCAGTTTGTCGGTCTTATTCGCTTGGTGCCTTTTATATGAAAAGCTGGACATTCTGCGTTGAAACATTCGTTCTTATTTAAAGAGTTCTTGCACAGTTCTGGGTGAAAGAAAGGTGGTGGCCAACGTCCCGACACCCTGGTGGTGGTGGCAGCGGCCAGCGTCCTGGTGGTGGTGGTGGTGGCAGCGCCCTGGTGGTGGCAGCGGCCAGCGTCCTGGTGGTGGCAGCGGCCAGCGTCCTGGTGGTGGTGGTGGTGGCAGTGGCCAGCGTCCTGGTGGTGGTGGTGGTGGCAGCGCCCTGGTGGTGGCAGCGGCCAGCGTCCTGGTGGTGGCAGCGGCCAGCGTCCTGGTGGTGGTGGTGGTGGCAGCGCCCTGGTGGTGGCAGCGGCCAGCGTCCTGGTGGTGGCAGCGGCCAGCGTCCTGGTGGTGGTGGTGGTGGCAGCGGCCAGCGTCCTGGTGGTGGCAGCGGCCAGCGTCCTGGTGGTGGTGGTGGTGGCAGCGGCCAGCGTCCTGGTGGTGGCAGTGGCCAGCGTCCTGGTGGTGGTGGTGGCAGCGGCCAGCGTCCTGGTGGTGGTGGTGGTGGTGGTGGTGGTGGCAGCGGCCAGCGTCCTGGTGGTGGTGGCAGCGGCCAGCGTCCTGGTGGTGGTGGTGGTGGTGGTGGTGGTGGCAGCGGCCAGCGTCCTGGTGGTGGTGGCAGCGGCCAGCGTCCTGGTGGTGGTGGCAGCGGCCAGCGTCCTGGTGGTGGTGGTGGCAGCGGCCAGCGTCCTGGTGGTGGTGGTGGTGGCAGCGGCCAGCGTCCTGGTGGTGGTGGTGGCAGCGGCCAGCGTCCTGGTGGTGGTTGTGGTGGTGGTGGTGGTGGCAGCGGCCAGCGTCCTGGTGGTGGTGGTGGTGGTGGTGGCAGCGGCCAGCGGTAGCGACCACGTGCACCGTGGGTGTGGGGTGGGAGGGAGGCGACGGGCCCACGAGAGATGGGAGCCAGTAGAGGTTAAGGCAGGATATTATACTGCGAGGCATGCTCCCCACTCATCTTCACACTGCTTGTAAGGCCACGCTCTCAGCACCCAGCACCGTCTTTGCACAACTCTGCACATTTCTCAATATTTTAACAAACAATTTTGTTTGCCTCCGCAGAGACGAAGAGAAGGTCAATTAGTGTAAGCGTCGCCGCCTCCCTCCGTGTAGAGCAGGACGGCACCTGTGCTCCTCACAAGATAGTAAGCTTGCTTGTACAACCTAACTATACCTTCGGGGACGAGCCTTATCACGGTCTATCAGAAAAGGTGGAGGGCAGAGTGTTGAGGCTGGGAGAGTGGTGGTAGTCTGGGAGGCTCGCACACACCGCTGACAATGGAGCCGTCTCAGGATGGTACGTGTTCCGTCTCTGACACCGTCCCGGCCGTGACTGCCCCAGACCACACCCTCACCAATGGTGACAGCGAAGGGTGAGTGAGTGAGTGTGGGTGTGTCGTCCCTGTGTTCAAATAAGTGTGGTGTGTGTATTATGTGTGGGGGAGAGTGGGGTGTTGTGGAAGATTGTCAGGAGTCTCCAGTTTTCCGAATCAACGACACACTCCAGATGAACGTGGACCTAGAGGTGTGAAGTCTGCCTTTCGCAGTGACTCAAACACCGCGACAGTCACGGAATGACAACATAATTCAGATGAGGTCTACACGGACCTTCCAACAGTCATATGAAGAATGTGACCATGGAGTGACGGCTCATAAAATGAGGTGGAAAGTCATAACAGGTGAGGTAAGATAAATTTAGCGGACAAGGGGACTGTATGAGCCACTAGCAGCCACATGACACTGACTCTGTCATGGCAGTGTTCTCTTGCCCAACCAACACCACTTCTCACTTCCAAGTATCTTTTGAGGCTTCTCTTTAAAGGTAATTCGGTTTATTTGCATAATATTTACCGTTACTGGCGTGAGGGTTGGGTAGTGTGAAGGACAAGTGCCGCCACGCTCTCACTATGGTGCCACACTTGGCAGTAAGTGGTGGCAGCCTGTGACGTGAACACCACCACCCCTCTGAAGGTGTAGGAGTGGCGGCATCTTGTCAGCCGACATTGAGCCAGTGTTAGAACTGAAGAGCCAGAACTAGGCCAGTGTTGTCTGTCCCACACTGGCCTAGTTCCCACCTGACTCAAGATGTGGCTTGCCTCTCTCTTCATCCCGCGGCTCACAAGTAACTTGATGAATACGTCTCCGGCTTAAAGGTGTCCGCAGTAAACAGCCATAGTTGGCAAATGCGGATTTGCTGTGATGAACTCTGTGAACTGTTTGGGTTTTGGCCTCGAGGGCGGCAGCCTAGTGGGTGTGGGGAGCTGCCGCCGCCGCCACGGGCCACATGGGAGAAGATGTCCCGCGTTCTGGCCAAATATTCCCTCCCACGCTCGATTGAAAAATGGTGAAAGAAAACGCTGCAATGTTAAAAGCTGTCCGTGTGGACGTCCCCCCCCCCCCCCCCCCCTCGACTCCCCCTTCTCCCTCCCCTCTTGCCCCTCGGCCCCGTCTCCTCCTCCTCCCCTCGGATGGTCGATACAGGGTCGTCGGCCCCGTGGCTCACTCTGTCATTATCAACTAATGATTCAAAAAAATAGAAAATGGAAAAAATAGACTTGCGTGGGTCTAGATTATAGGATATAGTTTGTGAGGACGACCCGGTGGGCTTGTCGACTTGGGGGATTGTCTTCTGTTTTGGCGTGGGGGGGGGGGAGGGGTGTACACCCTCCCCAGCCTCCACCACACACCCCCACCCCCCACCACACTCCCCAATCCCCCACCACACTCCCCCATCCCCCACCACACTCCCCCATCCCCCACCACACTCCCCCATCCCCCACCACACTCCCCCATCCCCCACCACACTCCCCCATCCCACACCACACTCCCCCATCCCCCACCACACTCCCCCATCCCCCACCACACTCTCCCATCCCCCACCACACTCCCCCATCCCCCACCACACTCCCCCATCCCCCACCACAATACCTTCACCACCCATTACCAAAACAAGGCGCCGGGCAACAGCAAGATATATAAGATGGTATTATCCAACCTACCAGTGATTGTACTCCATCAATACACACGTATATTAAATGCAGCTCTTGCATCTGGACTATTCCCCACATACTTCAAGAATGCCACAATAAGATTACTCCCCACGCCAGGAAAACCCACAACCCAAACTGAAAATTACAGGCCAATTTCCCTCCTCGAAGTACCAGGTAAAATATTCGAAAAAATAATCAATCAGAGACTTGTGAAGTACATGGAGGAGGAAGGGAAGTATAACACCAGGCAGCATGGGTTTAGACACCGCAGAGGGGCCCATACAGCTATAGTCCTGATCTACCAGCATATAGCAGAGGGGCCCATACAGCTATAGCCCTGATCTACCAGCATATAGCAGAGGGGCCCATACAGCTATAGCCCTGATCTACCAGCATATAGCAGAGGGGCCCATACAGCTATAGCCCTGATCTACCAGCATATAGCAGAGGGGCCCATACAGCTATAGCCCTGATCTACCAGCATATAGCAGAGGGGCCCATACAGCTATAGCCCTGATCTACCAGCATATAGCAGAGGGGCCCATACAGCTATAGCCCTGATCTACCAGCATATAGCAGAGGGGCCCATACAGCTATAGCCCTGATCTACCAGCATATAGCAGAGGGGCCCATACAGCTATAGCCCTGATCTACCAGCATATAGCAGAGGGGCCCATACAGCTATAGCCCTGATCTACCAGCATATAGCAGAGGGGCCCATACAGCTATAGCCCTGATCTACCAGCATATAGCAGAGGGGCCCATACAGCTATAGCCCTGATCTACCAGCATATAGCAGAGGGGCCCATACAGCTATAGCCCTGATCTACCAGCATATAGCAGAGGGGCCCATACAGCTATAGCCCTGATCTACCAGCATATAGCAGAGGGGCCCACACAGCTATAGCCCTGATCTACCAGCATATAGCCAATGCAGTGTTGGAAAAAGATCAGTGTAATATAGAGCTTAGAGATGTTTTGAAAGCCTTCGACAAAGTATGGCACACAGGCCTAAAATATAAGATATCTGAGCTAGGACTTCCCGAGAGATTTACTGCTACTCTCTGCTGCTTTATAGACAACACAACTGCTAGGTCTAACTGCTAGCAGTTAGACCTAGCAGGGGGGGGGGGACCTTATTGCCTAAACATGACTTTCCGTGTTAGCATCTGTCAAACATCTGCTACACCTCATACTGCCCTAACTCACGTGAGTAACTCTCCGATACACCGGCTATAATACCCTAACATGTATACGACATGTTCACTACACGGAACATTTAGATCACAGAATATATGTGAAATACAAGTGGCATGTATCTAGCTACATGTGGTGTATCTAGCTACATGTGGTGTATCTAGCTACATGTGGTGTATCTAGCTACATGTGGTGTATCTAGCTACATGTGGTGTATCTAGCTACATGTGGTGTATCTAGCTACATGTGGTGTATCTAGCTACATGTGGTGTATCTAGCTACATGTGGTGTATCTAGCTACATGTGGTGTATCTAGCTACATGTGGTGTATCTAGCTACATGTGGTGTATCTAGCTACATGTGGTGTATCTAGCTACATGTGGTGTATCTAGCTACATGTGGTGTATCTAGCTACATGTGGTGTATCTAGCTACATGTGGTGTATCTAGCTACATGTGGTGTATCTAGCTACATGTGGTGTATCTAGCTACATGTGGTGTATCTAGCTACATGTGGTGTATCTAGCTACATGTGGTGTATCTAGCTACATGTGGTGTATCTAGCTACATGTGGTGTATCTAGCTACATGTGGTGTATCTAGCTACATGTGGTGTATCTAGCTACATGTGGTGTATCTAGCTACATGTGGTGTATCTAGCTACATGTGGTGTATCTAGCTACATGTGGTGTATCTAGCTACATGTGGTGTATCTAGCTACATGTGGTGTATCTAGCTACATGTGGTGTATCTAGCTACATGTGGTGTATCTAGCTACATGTGGTGTATCTAGCTACATGTGGTGTATCTAGCTACATGTGGTGTATCTAGCTACATGTGGTGTATCTAGCTAGCAGTTAGAGCAGGAAAATAAAAGAAAAAGGTTATCACTCGGACCAGATATGAGGCCGCACTTCATAAACAGGATGAGTGACTGGTTCACGGAATACCAAATCCCAGAAGATATTGACACATTTGTTGATGACCTTAATCACCAAATTGAGAGCTGTCTAAGAGTTCCGCGCCGTACGCCTGGGTGAAGTAACCCTCAGAGGAAGAAAATAAAATGGTATGAGAACGATTACATAAAGATGCTTAACGCAAATGTGCGAGACATGAGTAGGGAGTACCGGAGACATCCCACTGAAAGTAACCAAGAGTTGTTTAAAACTGTGTGTCAAGTAGCCAGGGAAGAGAAGATTAAAGAGCGGGAAAGACAATGGCTTGAGTTCACTAGTTCGATTGGACGGGAAACATCTGCAAGACAAGTGTGGGCAAAAATTCAGGTAGCTAAGGGGGCAGAGCCCGGCCTGCGGCTCACAAAGACCCCCAGGGTAAGGCTGAGGAACTAATTCACAAGTGGAGTGATGCAGCATCCTCCTCCTCTCTCCCTGCAGGCGTAAGCAGGAACAGCTCCTGCGACATGATGACAGAAGAATTAGGATAACAAGAGCACTGTCTAGTGATGACGAATATGGGGAACCCAATGGAAACACGTAATAATTGTTCCCATACCGAAGCCTAATGACCCTGGTAATTACAGACCTATCAGTCTCGTGTCATGCACTTGCAAGATGCTTGAAAGGATCATGCTAAACCGACTGTTGCACAAAGTAGGCAGGTTAGGGGAGGGGGTCAATGGATTTGTTAAAGGACGGAATACAGCAAACTGTATAGTTAATTACTTGGCTAATGACACGGCTAGGTACTCTGTATTTGCTGACATCAAAGGAGCCTTCGACAAAGCACAGGGGATTGCGATCCTGGACGAGCTTGCATGCATGGGTGTCAAGGGGAGACTCATGAAATGGGTTGAAGACTACCTCATAGGAAGGAAAGCCAAGGTTTGCTTCAATGGAGCAGTCTCCAGAACAATGAGTATGGAACTCGGGACCCCCCAAGGCGGAGTCTTAAGCCCCACACTATTCAATGTACTTATGAACGCCATTGCAAATATTGATTTTCCGGAAGGAACACAACAAGTGGGATATGCAGATGATGTCCTAATACAAGCTCCCATCTTGGGAAAAATTGAACAGTCCATTGAACTCCTTGGAAGGAAATGTATTGAACTCTGTTTCACTCTCCACAAACAAGACAAAAGCATACTCCCATCACAAGCGGAGAGCAAATGAAGAACTGCAAATTAATGGTGTAACACTTGAATGGGTTGACCACTATCGGTACC